TGCAGACTTTTCACTATTGGTGGTATTCAGGTTTGCCAAGTCAGACCATGACTCAATCTGTCTCAGAACTATACAATCAGATTGGTGGTGGTGCCCCAGAGTTTTAGACAGAAGTCCTTCCTGGGTCTACCTGGAAGTGCTGGACAGCGGTGGAGGAAGCCACTCGGGTGCCTGAGGCGGCATGCCCAGGGGCAGGGTGAGCCACCCATAGGGGTGGGGCCTCTGGAGTCTGCCTGCCTCCTCCCACTCAGCTGCCCCACAGCTGGGGGAGGCAGTGGGCAGACTGTTTGGGCAGTGAGGAGCCTGCGTGTACCCAAGCTGCTGCGTCTCTCCCAGGAGAGAAGTGTGGCTTGGGCACACTGCAGGCCCTGTGTAGAGTGCTGCCCAGCATTTTGTCACCCCCCTCAGTGGTGATACCCGGGGCGGTCCGCACCCACCGCACCTCCCTTCCTCCGCCCCTGGTGCTGGAGAGTGGACATGGGACCTTTGGCATGTGTATGCTCTGTTAGAATCCTGATCTGTGATTGTACTCATGGGATTTTTGTCTATCACATGACGGTGTATGTTTTGACTCCACAGAGTAACGGAGACAGGATGTGTGTGTTACTGTATTCCGTGAAGTGGGACTGTTGTCCTTTGTTCTTTTTCTCTTTGCTGTCTGATGCTAGAGAGAGAGGGACCCATGTTGCAGTGCTCCATGTGTGTTTATATGCAAATAAAGTAGATTAGCCAAAATGCTGAGTTGCTGGGGTCTGTCACGCAAGGTGTGCAAACTCTGTGGATCTCTAAGTGTGCCGGTGTTGGTTGGCATCGGTCGCTGTGATGTTCGGGCAGAAGAAAGCTTTTGAAGCTCCTGAACGATTGACCAGGAGGGAGAGAACATGCCAGTTGGGCATGTGTCTCTGCCAGGGTCCTACTTGTGTGTAGGCTGAACTCCTGACATGCTCTACCATGGCGGTGTGGCCCACTCCAAAAACTGTGGCTGGAGGTGCCTCTGTCTCCTTTGGAATGCTGAGGTAAAACTGCCAAAATGCTCAGGCTTTACTGAAAGCTTCAACTGCAAAAAATGGAAAGAGAGCTGAAGGGGTCAGTAGTTTAATTCCAATTCCTCCCTTAATGTCACCATCCCCATCCACTTAGAAGCACGCACAAAACGCCCTCATATTCCCAAGAATTTCACAGTTCTATTCACGAAGTTATTAAATGGACTTATTAATGGTGGAGATTAATTAGCAGGAAACCTATTCTATTATGTCTTCCACTATAACTCAACATGAGGCCGCTAAAAGACCGCCTGTAGCTCTGTAGCATTTCACTGATGACGATCCACAGATTTAAAGGATAATTTATTAGCCTAAGAATAAATAACTTGTAAATACAGTGGAGATACTGCAGTAATCAACTGCTTCGCCGCGACTGGCTTCGAGTTTTGCGCCACGTTCAAGAATAGAATTGATTCATTTATGGCAGAGTATATGAGATGCTGTAAGGCTTCCTATCAAGTCTTAGTATTTGGTACAAATTAATATGCACTATTATGCCAGAAGCTGTGGGCAGGGGATTCTGTCATCATTTGAAAATGCTCAAAGCCAAGGTTTTGTAAGTAAAAGGACGGTCAGCGTTGTGGGCAGTTTGGAGAGAGTGCGGCACAGAGATTTGAGTGATATTGCAACATGATTTGTGCTCTCCCCCTTAGTGGCTGGCGGCTTGTGGCACCAAAGCCACAAACAACAATTTAGGGAGAGGACGGTCAGACCGAAGGAGATTCCCCTTCCCTTTTGTTTTCTCAAGAGCAGTGCCCTCGTTGCAGACTAATAATTTATCTAAAAGACACTTAAATTGATTAATGCCTCTTTAATAATTGACAGCCATACTCATTTTCTATCTTCTGGACTTCCAAAGCACTTAATAGATAATCTTAGCTGCAAGACAGGAACAGTTCAGCCTCAAAGAATATTATCATACACTTCCCAAATGGTGTCAGGGCTGGTGGCCTGGAGGAAGGGAAGTGACACAGACAGATGAGCTAGGCAGGTGGCAAGCTGGCAAATGGACAGGCTGAGACAAGCTGAGAGGCAGTGTGATGGCAGCTTGGTGTTTACACCACAGAAAAATTGCACAGGCGGGGCTTTATAGGGCCAGCTGCATCCCCATTGGTTCTTCAGGTCACCTGGCCTCCTACATTGGCCAGCTCATCGTGTCCCTCTTTTTGCAACTGTTGTGTAGTGAGCAAAGCATATGATTTGACCTATCAGCAACCCAGATGTACAGGGTCAGATTAAAACAGTTAGAGGCCCTAAACCAGGCATCCCGAACCTTCGTCCCTCCAGATGTTTTGGACTACAATTCCCACCATCCCTGACCACTGGTCCTGTTAGCTAGGGATCATGGGAGTTGTAGGCCAAAACATCTGGAGGGCCGCAGATTGGGGATGCCTGCCCTAAGCACTGAAAAGATTATGGTGTCCTCGTGTGTAAATCAAAATAAATACAACACTAAAATAAAATTGTAAGGGAGCCTAACAAAGTTCTCATCTTTCTCATGACCGGTGCTTTTTCTTTTCTTTTTTTGAAATATCAAATGTCAAATCCTGTTTTTAATTTTTTTTTTTTTTATGCCCCTGCTTCGCTTGTGCTTTAAGCCCATGCTTAATCTGTCTATTGGGTAATCCAGCTCTGTATAACCCCAGATAGACTACAAATAGTTAAGCATGGATTTACTATTCTGGGTCGTTTTCATATCTGCTCAAATAAAGGTCCATTTCACTTCATTTTTAGTGCATTAATTGGGAAAAACCACACACTGAAATTCACCAAAAACCCCCACCTTACTATTATTAATTTCATTTCTGCACTGCTTTATATTTTTAAGAAAAAACCCTCAAAGTAATTTACAACCTACATTAAAAAATGAAACAAAGCATTACAGGAGAAAATCAAATATAAAGTATACATTTAAAGCAACATAATTAACAGGAAACAAAAATATTATGTTAAACATTTCAAAATATAACATTACTAAAAGAGGGCAAATATAGAATACATGCTTAAAACTGCATAATTAGCAAGAGGATAAAATATTATATTAAACAGAGAACATATCGCCATCATCTCAACATACCAAGTTAACAAGTATAACAATTCTATCTGCCTGTCTGCCTTTCTGTCTGTCTCATTGTCACTGCCAATGGTGGTTTATGGCAGGCAACAGCTGTGGAAATTTGGGTTCAGTGACCTGGGTCTGCACTAAGAGACCCTGTAGTGGGCAGAGAAGCAGAGAGACTCCAAGACAATGCCAAGGGGACAGTTAGCGTTGAATTCAGGGCATCACTGAGGCTCTGCCTCAGGAATTCTTTCCTTCTATATATCTGATGTCAATTTTATTTGGGTTCATCACATAGAAAGCATATTTCTGTATGCTTTTCAATGCATTTCCCCATAAAACCCACAGCTTTGAATGTTGTATATATATATCTATATCTATATATATATATATCTCTATATATCAGAGCCTGATAAACTAGGTCAGGTTGGCTTAAAATGCATACTAACTAAATCATTTTCTTCTACCAGTAGTGAATGACTTGTCAAGGACCCCTCCATTTCTTAAATGTAATTCACAAATTATGTCTGCAATCCTACACACACTGAGCTGGAAGTAATTTCCAGTAACGTCCATGGGATATCTTGCCCAGTATATATACTCAGGGTTGTGCTTTCTGCCTGTCATACATGTGGGTAACTCAAGTAAAACATGAATAACAAGTGGAACATTTCCTTTATACTTTTGTTTAAAGAAGGGGCATTATCAAGTTTTGAAAACACGAAAAACTTATTTGTACAGAAATGAGGAACTTATTTGTTCCTCAAATTTACACCTCCGCCAGGGGAGCTGACTTGGACCCCAGGTTAAGGGTGCCCAATGTGTGTGACGTCATGATGTCACATTGCAATGTGATGTCATGGTTCCAAGACCTCAGCAAGCATCTCCAAGGTCTCGCGAAGCCTCAGAGATGCTTTCTGAGGTCTCACGAGACCTTGGCACCTGACTTCCAGTGCCACCGGATATCAGGTTCTGAGGTCTCGCAAGGCCTCAGACAGCATCTCCGAGGCCTTGCAAGACCTTGAACGTTGCATCAGGGGCCCTGCAATGTGGGTGCACCCACCCCCAAAATTTTGTGGGTGCTCAGGCACCAGGAGCCCCCTATAGTTTTTGATGTCCAATCAGCACTCTCAAGGTGGCTTACAAAAAAAATCAAATCCTTTCAAAGATTACAAAGGAAAGGAAGGAAAACAATCTATAAAACTCAATAAAAACTTACAAGAGCTTAAAACAATTAAAAACCTTTATAAAGTTTAGCAGGGTTGTAGTTTACAACCTACATTGAGCATTGTAACTGTTGAGAGAGTTATGATTGCCACAAGTTTTTGCAGCATTCCAGAAATTATGAGCAACAGCTGGGGAAGACACATAGATACTGAACATCCTAAATTACTCCCATGTAGGAGATGGGGGTACTTCCCAAATTACTTGCTGCTGTTCACATGCTTTATCTGCTTCTCTGGGTCAGTTTTTTCTTGATGACCGCCATGGGGCATTCCTCCCCCCTTTTTTTACCCCAACACAACATCTTTGCTAGGATGAGAAAAAGGCACCCCATCTGTAAGATTCAGCTGGTTCTCTTGGGATTTCCCACCCCCTTTGCCCCAGGTGTTTTTTGTGTAAAAAAAAAAGACAACTATAACTGGTAGTGGCTGAAATTTGGGGGTCTTGTTTGCTATTATACAAATGCCAATAAATAAGGAATACTACATTGTAGATCTGCCTCTGTGCAAATTCTGCAAGAAAATTGCACCCCAGTAATCACTGGGGGGCAACTGCTCTATCCTGCTCCCTCTTACTGTAGATGTCTTGGGTTTTTTTTAAAGGAATTTTCATGGGACAACATAAAATGGCACTTTAAAAATCACATGAAATGACATTTTTTATTCTCAATTAATGAAACACACATTTATTTAAATACAGAAATGTCATGAAATGTGTCAGAAAATCTTCAGGACCTCCTGATTCCTTTTATCACTGCCCAACCACTGAGGTCTTCATGATAGCCATTGTTTGTGGTCCCCCATGGCTTGGACACTTGGCTCACGCACAGCAGGAGCTGTGCTTTCAGTGCTGTGGGCTCAAGCTTGTGGCATTCCCTTCCAGCTAAGATCAGACAGGCCCCCTTCTGGACTTCCAGAGGAGTCTCCAACTTTTTCATCCTCATTATTGGCCACCTATTGAGAAGAATCAGTCAATCTCCCTAACAAAGGAAAGGTATTTGGCAAGTTTGCCAAGTCTGTTAAGGCAGTTTCCAGTTCTGCTAACTACCTCCTCTACAACTTGTTTGGCCACTGTAGCAATAGTCCTCTAGTCCAGACCCCAGTCTTATATCTAGAAAATTTGTGAGTTGGAAAGGACCTAAAAGGCCACCCAAGACACCCTTCCCCCCAAGCTTGCAAAGTTGAAACAAAAACAAAAACTGGGACCTGACCAGTAGTAGTTTCTATTTGTATCATGTTTAAGACTATAACCCAATACACTCTTAAAGGTAAAGCGACCCCTGACCATTAGGTCCAGTCGTGGCCGACTCTGGGATTGCTGCGCTCATCTTGCTTTATTGGCCGAGGGAGCTGGCGTACAGCTTCCGGGTCATGTGGCCAGCATGACTAAGCCGCTTCTGGCGAACCAGAGCCGCACACAGAAACACCGTTTACCTTCTCGCCTGAGCACTACCTATTTATCTACTTGCACTTTGACTTGCTTTCGAACTGCTAGGTTGGCAGAAGCTGGGACCGAGCAACGGGAGCTCACCCCGTCGCGGGGATTCGAACCGCTGACCTTCTGATCGGCAAGTCCTAGGCTCTATGGTTTAACCCACAGCACCACCCGCGTCTCTATACACCCTTACCTGGCAGTAATTCCAATAGTAATTCCAAGGGGGCTTACACCTGAGTAGGATTGCATTGCATCTCAGTAATCCCTCCAACAGACGTATAAAGTAGGCCAGTCTGGAATTGGGTGGGCCAGAGCTTGAGAAACAGTGGCTTGCTCAAGGCAGTCTACTGGGTTCAATGGCTGAGGTGCAGTTTGGCACTGAGAAGGCCTGGACCTATCGCAGTCTCTTAACCACTCTTGTTTCACTGGGTCTCAAGGCATTACACTCTTCAGTGAAATATAATCAAAGCAAAGCCATTTTCATTAGGCTGTTCTCATGAAAGGCCAGAGGCTGGGCTATTCCAAATTAGCTCTTTACTTATTGTCGTCAGGAGACAAGTCGTGCCATGTTTTTCTGGCATTAAGGAAGTGTAGCTGAAGTCCCCGTTAGTGTTCTGTGCAGTGGTGACTTGGCTGCTTTATCTTGAGATGGAGTGCTATTATTTTAAAAACCCTGGAAGAAAAGAGAGAGGCTGTTTCCAGCTTCTCTCTCTTGCTCCCGCTCATAAGCTAGTGAGGAACTGTATCAGCATGATAAGCTTCATATTTATTTTTGTGTATTTTGACACTTACATACCACTTAGCACCATAATCTGTAAGTACGCTGCAGTAAGATTAAACAGATAAAAAAAACACACAGTTAAAACAAATCAGAAAACTTACTTAAAATGCCTGCTTAAACCAAAAGGTCTGCACTAAGCACCAGATGCTCAACAGGGAGGGGGTTCTGTAGGCATCTTAGGCTGCCTCCCTAGAGATCTGATGTGGGAGCTATGGGTGTTGATAATTTGTTGGAACACTGAAGCTACATCTCCATCTATCCTCAACCTGTCGTCTTCTTTTTTGGCGATCACTTGTAGCCGAGTAAGATTGTCTTCCATGAACACGGTCTTAACAGTGAGTCTGTAAGTGACTGTGGAGGCCAATTCTGGATCCACACATCCTTCCACTGTGGGGACATAGGTTTCTGGGCAGGAGTTGATCATGGTGAGGGTTTGCCAAGCGTGCCTTCCTCTTAGCACGTTTCTCCCTTTTGTCCTTCAAAGCCAATGACACCTTTGGTAAAGGCTGTTCTCCAACTGCAGCGCTCGCAGGCCAGTGTTTCCCAGTTGTCGGTGTTTATGCTACATTTTTTTTAAGATTTGCCTTGAGAGAGTCTTTGAACCTCTTTTGTTGACCACCAGCACTACACTTTCCATTGTGAAATTTGGAATAGAGTAGTTGCTTTGGAAGACGATCATCAGGCATCTGCACAACATCCGCTCAACCTGTATATTTACAAATAAACCTATGTATTACAAATCCCCAAGAACCTAACCTGGGTAAGCACTGTATCTCTAGAACTTCTCACCACTCAGGAACAGGTGACAGTGTATATTAAATCACTTGTATGGAGAATGTTGAAATGCGGGCAGTGCATATTTTAGGTAGGTGGGACATGAATAAGATTGACATCTGAGGCTGACACTGTCCAACCTTAATCCATCCTTCATGCTTCTTGCATTACACCTACTTACAGAATCCAAGCATTTTCTTCAGTAAGAGTAGTTTGCAAAATCAATGATGAATGGATGGTCTTTTAATGCCCTAAGAATCAAGTCAATCCTCTTCCTTCCCAGCATTGTTACTTTTCCAATCATTTCATGTTCTCCATCACATTATCAGGTCTCATCCAATCATGGACATTTCTTGGAGTCCCCTTGCCGTTGTTTTTAACATCTGTTAATGTCTGCTAGAAACATGAATCTCTATGACAGGTTATTGTGCTTCTATTTATAAAGCACATGAAGTTGTCGTAGAAAGGTTTACTTTTATGTGCCGCAAGAGAAGGCGAAATGGTGTGGACTTAACATTAGAAGAATCTGCCCCACAGAGATGAAAGGAATAATTTTAGGAGAAATTTAGTTCTCAATGATGCACCAAGAAGTAAAAAGGGGGGTGGAGTGTGATGCAAATGAGACTGGATACAAATAGAAGAGCAATGATTATGCCATCTACAGTGCAGGAACAGAAATATAAGCTCTGAATCACCACTGTTCTGTCAATGCCTCAAAGGTTTAAAAATGGTATGTGCAAACTATGAAGTAATGCTGACTAATGAAGAGTATATTTACAGTAATCATGAGCAGCTCCAAGAGGGCTGCATTAAAATAGGGGTAAGTTTAACAAATACCTGTAGTTATTTCTATTTTGCCTCTCTTTGGTCAGGAGATCAAATGTAGCTGAAATGAGATTGTGTTAAGGAGAGGAGAAGAAAATAAATCTGAGTGATTCTAGCAGGCCAAATGTGTAGGGTCACAAGCATCTCTTCTAACAATTCATCAACCAGGAACCCAGACAAGACCCCCAAATTCTGTAGAAACTCCTTTGTCCACATGGAAGCTCCATCAGCACTTTGAATCCTGCTCCACAAATGTGAATTTCTGATATAGATCTGAGTTGTGCCGATTCATGCAGCAAACTTCTACTTGCATAATGGAACTGCCCCTTCCAACTTGCTGCACACCCTCAAAATCTGCTCCGTCTCTCTTAAGCCCTAGATTTGGCCCTTAAAATTGATTGATTTTAAATTTGCACCGCTCCTTCTTCTATGTACTCAAGCAGCTAAAGTGGAAAGTTGGTGGGATGGAGAAGCAGCCTGATTGCTTAAAATCTATCCCTGTCAAATCCCTGGTTCTGAATTCAGGGTATTTAAAAATAAAAATAATATTTTGGGAAACTCCCTTTACATGTTAGTGTAATGAAAGACAATATCATCCCCACCACCACAACCACCACCTCTATTCTTATTATTTTCTTGCATTTGTATCCGACCTTTCTTCCATCATGAAACCCAAGATGGCATACATGTGATTCCCAGACTGTCTCCCATCCAAGCACTGACCAGACCCAAACCTGCTTGGCTTCAGCAAAGTGCTGGCCTCCTGTGACTTCAGCCCATAAATACCTTCCTTCTCTCTCCTTCTCCTTCTGCTGTGCATCCAATACATTGAAGGCCTTTCTAAAAAGGATGGGCCAGAAACCCTGAATGGAGGCATCTGCCAATACATTGCTGGAGACGGCATCTGTCAACCATGTTTCATGGGCACCTGTTGCAAAAAATAAAATAAAATAAAAATAGAAGCACCAAGCAGTTGGATTGGGAAAGTTGCCTCTGCTCCAGGGATTGAACTTTTCAAAGTGTACAAAGAGGGATTTTGTTGCTGGGAAACCCAGCCAGATGAGCGGGGTGTAAATAAATAAATTATTATTATTATTATTATTATTATTATTATTATTAGTCTGCATTATTCAGGTCTAGAAAGGACCTAACTCACACCAGACCTGTAACTGATGGAACTGTGAGTGGGTGATAGGAGCAAGGCCTAGGATGGGGAGAGAGAGAAATTTTATTCAGTTTGTGTTCACATGGAAACTTAGACAATTCACACTTTGTTTGGAAATTTCATTTGAAAGTCACACATTCCTGAATTTTGTTATGCAGTTCTGCAGCTGAGGAATATCCTGCAAACCTGCATATACTAGGGCATGCTTTTATTATATTATATTTTATATTAGGGAAATTATAGACAAAGTGCATTATATATGGGGGAACTGCTTTGAAAGTAACATGTGCCTTAGGCAAAATTGCACTAGAAACTGTGTATATTGGGAGAAATTCACGCTAAAATGCTGGTGCAGACCGACGTGGAAATGTGGAGAACTTCAGACTGGAAAAATGAGAAGCTGAAATTTGTTCAACTCTAGTGGGGCCAGACGTTTTGCCACATGAGGCAGAGCAAACAATGGCACCCCTACGTGAACGTGAAGGCTCACTGCAAAAATACAGAAGGACAATCAAGAAGGACACCTGCGTCAGAATCTCTCTCTGGTAGCAAAAATATAAGATAACAACAATTTGTTGCCCTTGCTTTATTCAACCTGATGGTAGAGCTAGCCATATGAGGCAGGCTGAGATAAGTGTAGGGGTAGTTGAGAGACAATTCTCTGCCGCACCTTGCTTTTCAATCTTTCCCCAGTCATATTCTTCGCCTTGTACAAAAGACCGTAACAAGTGGCGCATATGACAGGAAGCCCAGCTTTGATTTTGTTTGGAATATTCTTTATTTTGCTTGGCTAAGCTTGCCTCCTCTACTGACGTTTATCCATCATCATCACTGCATGTATCAGAGGATTTTTATTCAATGGATGTAGCCAAAGCCTCCTGTCTTGACATCAAAACTTGACAAAGCAAGTTCCTTTTGCACTCAGCTGAATTGTCATTCCATCACCCTAGTGGTTGATTGGCAGCAGGAATAAACACATATGCTCAGTTGAACCATATGTCCTATCTGAGGCGAAACTTTCCTTGTCTTCATAGTTATGTGATTCCCAAATCCTAATGCAAAACAGATAAACATATCCTGTTCATCATGGGGTCAAGCAGTGTACTAATGTTGGGATAGTGGACCTCCAAACCTTTTCTGTACCATCTGTGCTATGCAATTCTTTGGTATACAGTACACCTGGCCTTTCGTATTAGTGGCAAGCAAAAGCAGTGCAGATTGCCTGCTCTTGGTCTAACCTTACATTTGAGGTGTCAAGCCTTGCTTGTATGTTTGTTAAAATATAAATGGAAGATTCTTTTTTAAAAGAAAAATATTTTATTGAATTTCCACAAATTACACATGAAGTTCCAATACACCATGAATTTTTCTATCGACTTCCCATCCCATTTTCCGTGGTGTTCTTCTTTTCAACCCCTATGCTGCACCGTATCTTCCCTCTTTTATATCATATCCCTAATACAGTAATCTCTAATTCTCTCTGTTGCTCAAAATTCAAATCCCCCTCATGATTTCATTGCATTATAATATTTAAGTAATCCAAAAAGGGCTTCCATTCTTCAATAAAGCAATCATCACTAAATTCTCTTATTTTTAGCTGTTAACTTTGCTAATTCTTTTTTTTAAAATAATATTTATTACTTTTCCAAAAATTTAAACACTAAAAAGACAATACAATGCAATACATTAAACTAACAAAACAAAACAAAAACAATAAAATAAATCAAACAATTTCATTATCCCATCTTTCATTCACTTATTTCAATGACCTCCTCACACCTCCCTTTTTGTATTCCACTTCTGTTAATTATTTCAGCAATTCCTTTCCATCTTCCTCTGTTTTCTATCCTATAATTATCTTCACTCATTCTAACCTTATTTTTCCTTTAATACTCTATTAATCTATTTATACTTAATTCCTTATAACGTTTCTACTAAAGCCATATAACTTCCTTCCAACATTTTTCTAACATTCATTAATTTTACAGTATTTCTGTAAATAGTCTTTAAGTTTTTTCCAGTCTTCTTCCACCGACTCTTCTCCCTGGTCTCGGATTCTGCCAGTCATTTCCGACAGTTCCATATAGTCCATCAACTTCATCTGCCATTCTTCCCGGGTGGGTAAATCTTGTGTCTTCCAATATTTTGCGATGAGTATCCTTGCTGCTGTTGCTGCATACATAAAGAAAGTTCTATCCTTCTTTGACACCAATTGGCCGACCATGCCCAGGAGAAAAGCCTCTGGTTTCTTCAGAAAGGTATATTTAAATACCTTTTTCATTTCGTTATAAATCATCTCCCAGAATGTCTTAATCCTTGGGCATGTCCACCAAAGGTGAAAGAATGTGCCTTCAGTCTCGTTACATTTCCAACATTTATTGTCGGGCAAATGGTAAATTTTTGCAAGCTTGACTGGTGTCATGTACCACCTGTAATTCATTTTCATTAAGTTTTCTCTTAGGGCATTACATGCCGTAAATTTCATACCTGTGGTCCATAACTGTTCACAGTCAGCCATCATTATGTTATGTCCAACATCTTGTGCCCATTTAATCATAGCTGATTTCACCATTTCATCCTGAGTGTTCCATTTCAACAGCAAGTTATACATTTTTGACAAATTCTTAATTTTGGAATCTAACAATTCTGTTTCCAATTTTGATTTTTCCACCTGGAAACCAACTTTTTTGTCCAAATTGTATGCCTCCATTATTTGATAATAATGGAGCCAATCTCGCACTTTATTTTTCAAAGCTCTGCAATTTTATTCTGTCTCCATCTTGATCCAGAATTTCCCAATATTTTGGCCATTTGGCCTCCATATTGAGTTTTTTCAGTGCCTTCGCTTCCATTGGTGACAACCATCTTGGGGTTTTCTTTTCTAACAAATCTTTATATCTTATCCAAACATTAAACAATGCTTTTCTAACAATATGATTTTTAAATGCTTTATGTACTTTTACCTTATCGTACCACAAATATGCATGCCAACCAAATGCATTATTGAAACCTTCTAAATCCAACACGTCAGTGTTTTCAAGAAGCAGCCATTCTCTCAGCCAGCAAAAGCCGCTGATTCATAATAAAGTTTGAAGTCTGGCAGGGCAAATCCACCTCTTTCTTTAGCATCAGTTAATATCTTAAATTTTATTCGAGGCTTCTTGCCCTGCCAAACAAATCTGGAAATATCTTTCTGCCACTTCTTGAAACAATCCATCTTATCCAAAATTTGTAATGTTTGAAACAAAAACAACATCCTTGGCAGCACATTCATTTTTATCACAGCAATTCGGCCTAACAATGATAACTTCAAATTTGACCATATTTCTAAATCCTTTTTCACTTCAATCCAACATTTTTCATAATTATCCTTAAATAGATTCACATTTTGGCTGTCATGTTAACCACTAAATATTTCACTTTCTTAACCAGTGTTAGTCCTGTCTCTTCCTGGAACTTCTCTCTCTCGTTCACAGTTAAATTTTTCTCTAAAACCAAGTCCAAATGTTCTTTTTTTAATAAATGAAAGACTCTCCGCCTTTTTTCTGGGGAGTTTAGTCCATTCACATTCCAGCTCGAGACCTGCAATGCCATCATGTAATTACGCTGATGTTCCTCCAACTGCACCCAATGCTTGCTCTTCTTCTGTTAGTGGTAATGGTGGCACGTTCACTGGGGAGTCCAATCCAAAAGACAATGTTGATATATCCAATATTCCCCTATTTGGTGATCTCCTATCCGATGCTCTCTGCTCTAGGCCTCTATCTGGTGATCTTCTGTCCGATACTCTTGGCTCTTTTCCAAGTCCCTTCTGTAGATCTTCTTCGTATTTGTGCAGAAACTTCACTTTATCCTCTACTGATCTTATTTTTATTTTCCTACCTTTGAAACTGAAAGATAAACCTTGGGGAAACTCCCACCTAAAGATAATTTTATTCTTTCTCAGCAGGGCAACAATATCTCCGTAGTCAGGCCTAAAATCCAAAAGATATTTCGGGACGTCTTTAAAAATTACCACTCTTAACTGTTGTACTTCTAGGTTCTTCTGGTAGTGCCAACCCAAGATTCTGTCTCTCTCTTCTTTAGTTCGAAGGGTAATCAAGCAGTCTCTTATTGTATTCTTCTCTTTTTTCCCTCCTCTTCCAAGTCTGAAGGCCCTCACAATTCTAAACTCTTCTTGTCCCAAGTCCAAGTCCCAAAAGTCAGCAAATTCCTGTGTAAGAAAGTCTATCAAACTTTCCTTCTCGAATTCAGGTAGGCCTCTGATCCTTAGATTCGTCTGTTTTTCTTTAAGTTCAATCATAGCAAGCGTCAACTTATGTTCATCAAGTTGCCTCTGTAGGGCTGGGACTCTCTCTCTCTCTCTCCAGTTGTGTTACTTTACATTCAGCAGCAGCAGCTTTCTTCCTAGCTTCCTCCGCAGTCTGCCGTATCAGAGTGGATTCCTGTATCAATTTCTGAATAGTTTCTGTACTGGTATT